TAAGTATCCCCTTCAGTTGATGATGTGCAATCATATTTCCTTGCTGAATCCCAAGGTATTTGTAGAGCTCATCAGCTTCCAGATCAGTGATTGTTTCTCCATCAAAACAGTCTCGTATGTGAGCTCACGTTCACTAGTGAGTTTACCCTTCTGTATTTGTTGTATTTTGCATTTATCAATGCCTAGTTCCATATTTATTATTCTATATTATTATTATTATTATTATTATTATTATTATTATTATTTATTATTTATTACTGGAATAAGATGTGAAAGGATATTGATGAAAGGTGATCGTGGACTTTTTCGACCATCCCGGCATTCGCCTTATGATCGAGGGAATCCACGAAAACCCCGGTCAGGATGGCCGGCCCGGGATTCGAACACGGAACTCCCGATAGCGAACAGCGCGGTACGCACTGAGCCACTTCGCTCGGTAGTTTGGGCTTGTATGCCGCCCCCTCTTAATTTAAAAACCCACCGGCCGCCACTAGTCCCCAACACATTCCGGAAACACGTGACTCATGCGAAAGCATGAAAAACGTGTTGTACGCGTATGAGAAGGAGCATGAAGTCCATAGGAACCAGTTGAACTGCTCCACCAATTAGATGAAGGAGAATTTAGATTGCACAGCGGTCTAAAATATGTTTCCGCAAATCGCAGTTGTCAACTACCATTGCGAACCCATAGGTACGTTGCATTAAGTAATTGTTATAAATGATGTGGATAAAATATATTTATACAAACATGAAGTTATAAAATATATCAAAATGTTTGCCAGTGATGTCACAAAAACGCATTATTACATTTTGTAATTCGATTTTTTAATTCTCTAATACTACTTGAACTCGCTAAAGCGTTTCCAACTCTCAACACTTCTATAATTACAGGCATTCGAACTCACGTTACTTCGGTTTAGTAAGCATATCCAGTATCCATGATTGATAACGTGTTTCCGGACGCGTGAACTGTCCTGTAACTGTAGTGCATATTGTATCGCGGGTGATGGCGGCAATATTCCCTTCTGGATGTCGAGACCCGGCGCCGACTTACACGTTCACAAGCAGGTATCTCCCACCAGCGAGGTTCTCTCCAGCCGGAACAGCTCAAAGGTCCCAACTGGTCTCCTCACATGTGTGTAAGTGAATTGCATATAGAAGGGAAGAAGCGGTCCTTGACGAACGGACGGAAAAACAGGCTGACGGGTATTCAGACATGGATTCTGATTATACAGCGTATTAGATGAAATGTAATTTACTATATGCGAGAAAGAGATTTTTTGCTCTGAATTCTAGAAAATCTATAGATTTAAACAAAAAATTAGAATCCTTTACTCTCTCCTGAGAAAAAAAAGTTTGATCTAATTTCATGGAATTTTTAGGAACGTTTTAAACTGTAGTTGAGGCTTCATGTAAAGGGCCCCCAAAATAAAAATATCAATTTGAAACCCACAGGGCCTCGAGTTCATTTAGATCGATCGATAAATATCAATTTTAGAGAAAATATAGACAGACTTCCATAAATAGATAGACGTCCAAACAGCCAAAATGATGGACAGACTCACTTGTACAGATATACATACATACATACATACAGACAGACAGACAGACAGACAGACAGACAGACAAACAGAGAGTAATAAGGAGACTGACAGACGGACAGACACGTGTTTTGTCGTCAACCAATTTTAATTTATTGTATCGTCCCCCCTTACGTTTTTATCAAAGTCCCTGCTATCTGGTGCAAATCGTCACATACCCGCACTTCGGGGGATGATAGTTAATTATCTATGACGACCGTACTTACCTTAGTTGGCCCGTATTGTTGCTCGTCGCAGCTCGCCGGTCTGCTCTGAAAAGGGAATGGATGGGAATGAATGTCAGGCTGTGGCATGCGTTTGCAGTGACTCTCATAGGAAACTTTAAACTTCAATTTAATCAATGAAAAAATATTTTACTCGTAAGTCACAAGATTGGACTATTGAACAATAACAATTTCCTTAACCCTTAGTTAGTCGCGCTGGCATACTTTGTACCCACTGTATCGTCGTAGGCGTCAGATAACATCAGGGCGCTTTCTGACATTTGACATAACCTCGGAAAATGTATTCAGCTGCATCCTCCTCGATACTCAGTTGCGTATGATTTACTGCAGTAGCTAGACGATTGATTTTTCGTTGATGTACTTTCTACACCGCGCGGGTACCAATGTGAGTTTTCATTTTCTTATTTTTATCACTGAATTTAAAAAAAATGATGTAATTGAACTAATTTATTTGGTTTTACAAAAGGAACACTACAGAGATGAGGAGTTTAACGGAAAAGCAGACATGTGAATTATTACATGAGGAATCTTCAGAAGACGAAATTTTGTATGCTGCAAGTGATTTTGAGAAAAAAAGTTGTAGTGGCAAAGAGTGAACATGACATGTTCAAAGCTTTGATTAGGCTAGTGATAATTCAAGCAGCAATATAGTGTAGAAATGTTTTCATTGGCAAAGATAAGGTTACAAAGTGGAATAAAACACAGCTTGTCAGCAAATTTTCAAAAATTGGAAGTCATTAGGATCAAGAATAACCACAAACGAAATAATGAAATCAGTCATATTTGGGGAAGAGCAAAAAACAGAGAACCACAATTATTACTACTTTTACTACTAACTGGTGCAACAAAGTGTCATTCAGGGAACGTATTCTTATGTCATCAAATACAAAAATAGTTCTAAACACTAATATGCAAAATTTATTATTATTATAGTTTATTTAAAATTGCAATATGTATACATTTCAAACAAAACAAAATAAAAATTATATACGAACATTATTCAGCGTCGCAGAGTTAATTTTTCTAACAAAATAGGCTTGGCGTAGAGTGTACACTGCGCGGGTACTTATGTGATAAAACATAGCGCGAGAAACTAAGGGTTAATGTAAACTTAGCCTAAAGTTACTTCCCAGGGGTAGTTGACCCCGGCTGGCCGTGCGTGCGTGGTGCACATGTGCACGGCCGGCATCAGGGCTGTCGAGGGCCGTCACTGGCCCGAGAAGGCGCATGGGCGGTGTCGCTCGGGCGGTCACGGCCGTGGTGGAAAACCATGGGGAGCTACTGCTCCGCGTATCCGACTTCTGCCAAGAAGCTTCAGACACCAGTTGGCGTCACGATGGGAACGGGAATTATAAATGCAGCCTGATATCAAAATTATCACTTCGTTACAAGACATTGAAACAGATTTATGAAGCATTTCTTTTAAATCATGCATCGTGTACACCTACATTGGGCTATTTTTGGTTGGTCACCATTGAAAATTGTCACTTTATGCCACTTTTAAAACGTTTCTCAACATTCCTTCGTTCGCATGCAACATGGCGGCCAGCGCCTATGTGGCGTCAGCGCCCTGTCCTGGCATTTCAAATGACGTGCCCTTGATGTGGTTCGTGACGTCAACTGGTGCTGCGCAGAAGCAGCAAAAATTGGTGCGCGGACTAGCCCACCCACGTCTCTTCACCGTGGTCACGGCGAAAGCACTCGTTGCTTAACATCTGCACGCCTTTGGTCCTAAATATTTTGTTTCGAAATTAATAAAGGTAATATACCCTTTCAATTGTTGCATCACATGGTTTTCAAGGTGACAAGACGTTTTGTGATTATTCCTCATTGATAGAACTGAGAACTTTTTTAAGCTCAACAAAAAAAGTGATGAAACTAAGCTTTTGGTACTACAGGATGCCATTTTGCACACACTCTACAACAGCATTTTTGCTGCAGCAGGGCAGTAGTTATCTGCTATTCCTCGTCACTGCAACGTACTTCATCCACCATAGCCACTTCCTGTAATGTGAACGTTATTCTGGTAAAGTATCAAGTGAGTTTCGAAACTGTGCCAACTTCGGGCCTTATCTACCCACTTTGTGTCATGTTTCCATTACACTAAGTTCGTTAATTAGCCAGAATGGGATGTTAACGGTAACATGTATTTTAATGAGGAGTACATTGCTATAAGTGATAATGAAGACAACAATTTTTAAAACGCCAACGTTTTGGTGGTAACATAATTTCATGTTCGGGAGGAATCTGAAATACTTATAGAACTGAGGAGAGCTTAATAAAAACAGAAACGTTAGTATTTTAGTTGATGTTTTCTTTGTGTTTTGTTTTCAATGTACTATTCCCCATTAATTAAGGATGCTAGTGAAGAAAGCTAGCATCGCCGAGGGAAGAGATCTAGTGCTGTGCTCACATCCAAAGCTCACCGTGCTCAATACTCGAATTCTCATGAAATTTCGCCAGTTGGTTCAACCGCATGCTTGTTGGTACAAAACCCACATATATAAATTTTGAAGTGCTGTGGAGTATTAGAAATAGTGTTTTAGAGGAGTTTTACATCAAGACCTGTCGTGACCTCGGGGCCCCCCGCAGCGACCAAACCGTTGCATTAGCAGCGCAACGTTTTGGCATATATCAACCGGTGTCAGACGCCTAGGGCGTTCTTTTTTCCACGTCTGGTATCGAGGCCATATCGTTGATCTCTTTTCGTTTGAAGTGCAGAGTGACACGCGCTGTTAATAATTTAACGACGTGTGTTCAAAGGATATCGTAAAGCAATGCTATTATTAAGAAAACTGAAAAAGAAACTTTCATGCTATGCACTTAACTTGACTTTTTTTTCATTTTTATTAGACCCCATTATTGTGAACATTTTGTTTCTAACTGAAAAGTAAAAGTAAGTATTTATTTATGCATTTTTATACATTTATTTATTTGTAATGTACTTATCGCGTATCGCGGTAAGTTTCAGAAACCCATCTTTTCAAAAATTGTTTTTGGATTATTATTAATGCACGTGTTCGACACTTCCGTCTTTCCGAACCTGCACGTAACACCTGTTTTTATCACCTCGCCTGTCCTCCGTGGGGCAACACTGCCGACGGGCTGATAGCGCACGGGTGCGAGCGCAGGGGCGGTGGTGGGCGGCGGATTCCGCGCTTTGACAGGCAGAAAGGTCATGGAAGGTCTCAATGCAATTTTCGCAATGCTTCTTATCACTTACAAATTTGTTTGTTCAAGTTTTGAAAGGGGTTGAAGAAGATAGTATAATTCCGAGTATTCAGCAGCGGCGGATCCGGGGGGAGGGGAGGCAATCATGCGGGCCATGCCCCCCTTAGAGATCTAATGCTTTTTGTTACCTTTTTTTGTTTTTTATTTAGTAGAATTGATTAAAAATGTATGTTAAAATTATGTAACTTAAAAAGTAACATTGTACAGTATTGTATATACACACACCACAAAAATAAACAATGAAATAACAATTATTATTATTATTATTATTATTATTATTATTATTATTATTTAATAAAAATGTATGAGGACCCTCCAAAATAATCGGCTGGATCCGTTCTCACAAGTACCGGCAGCGTCTAAGCGACTTTGACAGTTCAGTGCGCTGTTGCTACACATTACTACGCCCATGGTACCACCTACACGACAGGTAAATGAAATATCAAAACACAATATTTACAGACAGGCGATTACACTTACTGACATTTATAGTACGATTTACTTAGTTGTGCATTTGTCGTAATTCAGCTGTTGCGGTTTCATCCAATCGGGAGCTTATAAGTCGCCAGTGACGTCACTATGGGGATGTTCAAGCTCCCGATTGGATAATACCGTGAACAGCTGATTTTCGTCAAGTGCACGATTAAATAAATCCTAGTACACTGACACCGTCTTGAAATTATGTTCATGAACATAATCGATGACTTCGTGTGAGGCAGCTAAGTGCTAATCAGCTGAACGCTGATTTAGATTTAGATTTAGATTTAGATTTATTCAGTCCTAAAACAGTAAAAACTATGTGACGTAGGGGGAACAGATCATCTGCGCACGTTTTCTTGACTTCCAGAATCCCTTTCCATCATTTTAACTATAAATAGTTGAAAGATGAGTAAAATAAATAAATAAATTTAAAAAAATTAAAAAATTGCGAGTTTAGCAATATTTGAAAAAATCTAGACATTTTCGTTCTCAAGTTATAGAAAATTTATTTGCATCAGTAAACGAATTGCAAGTATCCTATTTTCTGCAATGTTAAAAAAAAGTAACTCGCCCTTATTTCTACTTCTACCATTGCAAGCAAAACGAGAGTTGAACAAACCGTGCGCACACTGAAGCTATATTTACGTCGAGAAACAAAACAAGGGTCCATCTCAGCTTTTGCTCAATGGATCAGGGTAAATGGACAAAAAAATGATCGAGATGGTCTGTGAGAAAATAAACAAATCCTGGCAAGCTGATTGCTTGAGAGTCGGTCACCTGACGTACCGCAGCATGTGGCGAGAGATCTGTCACAGTCGGCTACACGCCACCGGTACCCAGCAGGGCTGCGCTTCAGACGGGCATGGCCATGTAGACGAAGGCGTCGCCGTCGGCGTGCGCGAGCGCCGGGCGGCCGAGAGCGTCGCGGTACTCTGCGTAGCGGATCTGCGCGAGCGGCTCGAAACCCGCGCGCAGCGCCTGCTTCTGCGCGGCGGCGCCGGTGAAGACGGTGGCGGTGAGGCGCAGGCCGAGGGCGCGGCAGAGCGGCCTGCGCGCGCGCAGCAGGCGCAGCCCCACGCCGCGGCCGCGGAAGCGCGGCGCCACCGACAGCCCCAGCGCGTTGAGGCACGCGTCCACGCCGAACCGCGCGAACACGTCCGCGCGCGCCTCCACGCTGCGCGTCGCCTCCAGGATGACGCGCAGCGGCGCGCTGCGCACCTGCGCACGCGCAGTTCGCCCATGTTCAGAGAGCTCAGACGCCAGAGACATTGTAAGGGGTCTTTACGCTACGGTGGGAAAAGTTTAATTAACAAAATTTGGAGCCATTTTTTAGAAAGGTTCCACGGACGGAGGGGCAGAGGGAAGGACAGAGTGGAAGACGGACGGACAGTGGGAGGGAGGACGGCAGAGTGCGAGACGGTCAGAGAGAGAGAGAGAGAGAGACAGAGAGAGAGAGGGGGGGAGGGAGGGACGAACGGACGGATGGACAGACAGAGTGACGGACGGTTGAATGTACTTCAGTTGTCGACGAGAAAAGGAAATTATCTACAATACAAGCCATACAATACAAGCCATACAATACAATGCCATTCTCCAGCACCACTAGTTATATGAGCATTCATTAAGTTACTTCATGTAGTTCGGAGGACGCGAGTTTGGTCCCTACCTGGTGTCACAATTTACCCTTCCTGAGGACCCATCACTCACCCTACAATGGCCTATGCCCCAGGGTCTAGGGTCGGAGACAGACCAAGGCAAAACCGCTGGTATTGCAGAAAGAAGAAAATATGATATAGTATGTATATATATATATATATATATATATATTATGTGTGTGTGTTGATTAACATGCAAACAACGTATTGCTGATCACTACCTAAATTATTAAATTCATAACCAATTATTAATCGTCCTTTCTTACAAAATTACAGTTTACACTAGTTGTCTGGAAGGCAAAAATTCATTCCGAAGGTTGGTTGGATCACGAATGCAAGGACAGAATGTAACAGTACTGACGTATTGTAAGAAATTTGGAGGAAAGGAGGAAAGTTGTCATGACTTTCCTCTCCTTGAAGGAAGTTCTATTGCGCCCATCGGCCTCACGACTCACCTTTCACGAATACCTTTCCTCAACGCCATCCAAACCGCTTACTTCTTCCTTTCCTTGTCGCAAAGACTACGGCTGCCTTAGAATATGTTTGTTCCAACCGGGAATAGAAACCGACTCCTTAAGCGTTCAAGAAAGCGACCTTTTCAATACAATATTTCAATATTCTACATTCCTAACTCAACGTAGGCATTTTACAAGCTTAATATCGGGCCTATTTGGACCGAAACTAGTGGTGATATAACATCACATAGGATTCTCGCATTACTTCTAACTTTTGCAGTTTTCAAAAATTGAGAGTTAAACGAAAATGAAACCTGCGTCCTTTGCACTATCCGCGGAAAAGATGAAAAAAATCTTGGAGGCGTTTTAATGCATTTTTGAAAATAATTGCATTAAGCGAAGTAGAAATTACGCGAAAACTACCCGTTTTCAAAAAAACAAAAACAAAAAAGAATACAATACCTTATTTAAAGATGTTGATAAAGTCAATCTTTTGCAATTTTTTTAAAATACGGACTTCGTGAAAAAATTGTACTATTGCCAATTGCTTAGCGTTTTTTTGTTATAACTGAGGAAATATATAAAGAAAAAATTGGAGCTTTTTTTTTTGAAAAGATAATTTTAAAAAAACTTCATTTCATGCAAGATTTCACGAAAACAACTCGTATTTTCGAACAATGTTATTTAGAAAAAAATCGCTGTATTCTATATTGTAGTTGTACGAGTTCGTAAAAAGATGGGGAAATCATTTTGAACTTTCGCAGTTTCTGAGCATTTTTTACACTTTTCTGTGACAGGAAACATTTTCGCCTTCGCCAGTTAATAATGATTAATTTCTTGTACAGTATTTTAAAAATAATTTCCTGTGTTTTTTCATACGTTTCGTTAACGTTCTCTTAAAATTAATTAATTACTCAACGCTGGTTAATTTAGCTGCAAGTACCTGAATAGGCCCATCTAACCGCCTCTTGATGCTGAGAATGTTGCAGCCGACGATCACAGGCTTCCCGTCTTCGCCGAGGGTCAGCGCCACCAGCGAGACTCGTTGGCTCAGCATGTAACGCCATATGGCGAGAGCCTCTTGAACTGCGTCCGGGTGCTCGAGCAGGCGGGTCGCGCGGGAGAGCACGGCATCGCGCAGGAAGTGCTCTTGCAAGTGCTGCAGCACTTCCTCGTCCAACTCCTCCGTTAGGTCTTGAATCCAGATGTCAGGTACCTGCAATTAATAGCAGAATGTCATTACATGAGGGCCGACATGACAATATTAACAGTTTCATACAGAGGTCGGATTCAAGGGGGGGGGGGGCAAGAGAGGAAATTGCACCTCCCCCCCCAACGTTCGAAAACTTAAAAATATATATAATTAGACATTTCTTTAATTCGCTGATCTTCAAGTTTATATTTTTTTAAAATACCTTTTTTCTGTATATTGTGAAGAAATTAAATAATAATTAAGCGAACGATTAAGGTGAGATAACATTCATTAATAAATTGGTGACGTTAAGTTCAGTATTGTAAAACGGCGCGGAATAATGTTTAACGTTACTGTGAATATCCCTTATTAATAAACCCTCATTCAATTATATTTTGCTTTTAAACGTTATTTACTTATAAATTAAAGTTTCATGCCTAACAGCAGAACCGTAAAACTCGCATTAACTGTTCAAACGAAAGAGCATTTCCCATTTATTATACACGAATAAAACAAAATCCAAGCAGCTACAGTATATTTTATTTAGTTACATGTATTATATTTATAAGTTATGCATCAAATACATATTGTGGGCAATACAGATGATACAAATGTAAATTGTTTAATACAAGCATACTGCATACTGTTTTTCGTAAATTTTTATTAAAACTAATATTATTTAAACAAACAATTATTACCATTATACTGTAATTTGAATTATTAAAAAAAAATTACCCCTCATAATTGCCTCCCCCCAATAAAAGATCCGAAGTTCTGTCTCTGGTCGTATACCAATGCCATTAGAGGGCGGGATTTCGAAGGAGCAAAACCGGTGCTGCTAAAAAAGCACGTAATTTTTTGCACGTGCTTTCACGCAAAATTATTCCAAAAGTAATTACATTTTCGAAAAATCACAGAATACCATATTTCAAAATCTACTTTTATGGAACATATTTCATTAGGGAAATATTCTTTATCTTCGTAATTGTAGTTGTAGGTTGTAAGTTTGCAAATTATTGAAATTGCATTTTCGAATTTTAAGCATTTCATTCACTTGAATCTTTCTGGAGTTATCATATTGAATTGGAACAATTGGAACGCAGAGACACAGCAATTTGAAATGATCAGAATAACTTCTCATTGTGGGCAGGTGTTTCTGCGTGAATAGGAATATTTTGAATCGGAAGAGAGCGGGGGATCACAAAATATTATGTGATAATGAATATTTTATTTCTAAAATTTAATGTTATGTTCTCTGAAATAATACAGATAATTAAATAATAATACAGATAAGTAAATTGTTACTTAGCAACAATCTTCTAGGCCGTAGAATGTAGGAATAAATAAAATAATTTGTATATTCATACAGCAATAATCGCATCTCAGACAAACTTCATTGGTGCATTGCGCAATGGCAATATCGTAAGTGCGCTGGTATTATTATTTTACGTAACTGTTGGTGAGGCGGGAAAAAACGTACTGATGTAGCACTACTAAAACATCTAAAAGGCGTTGTTAGACAAACCTATCACTTAAGAAAGATTCTAATAAGGAAAGTCCTAAATTAGGAAACAGAAATCGAAACGGAGAGACGAAAACGCTACAGTGGAGTCGCTCTCCACCGTTGGTTTGTGACATTTACGGGCGAATTAAATGTAATTTTACAGATATTTCGCAGAACGTAGACAACTTTAAATTAATCTGATAAAATTGTTTCTTTCTGTAAATTAGTTTGCTACTATTTTTAAATTAATCGACATGGGGAATAAAAACAATTGAAGAAATTTGAGAGATTTGAAAAATGCCACTTTCTCCCTGGAGAAAATTGGGAATCTCTCCCTCCATTGTGTCCAGCGTATCTTACCTCACCGTCGATGAGGGGTTCAGTTCCATTGAAGCGATCCCACACGGTCGCGCCATTGATCGTGCTGTGACCATCTGCCATCTGTCAAGAGCAAAGTGTCTGTTAAAGGGCGAACATGGAACACACCGCACAATTCCAACTGCTATCTTCACAGTAGCTTGCATTACAAAACTATGCGTAGGGAGGGTGTGTAGGGCGGCGTTAAATCTCTCATGTTCCAGCGAGGGAAGAACATCGCCTCTTCTCGATTGTCTGATTCCGGGTACGGCAACTGCTAAGGTCATTAGTGAAGCAAGTCATGATATCGCGGGAAGAGGCGGTGATCATCACTCGCTGGATGGGAATATCCGGTGCAGACCTATCGTCAACTAGCGGGGTTTTTCCCAACCAGGTATCTCCGACCAGCGAGGCACCGCCCCTGCCGGGAGAAGCTCTAAGCTCTTGACCGGTCTTCCGGCATGTGTGGTAGTGTACTGCATGTGAGTGTGAATAAGGGCGTGAGGATAAGGCGAGGATTGTTAGTGGTTCCGGGGGCGTCAACTACTAAGGTCATTAGTCCCATAAGTGTTGTGCATGCTTGCTCGGGAGGTGGCGGTGATCTTCCTCCGCTGGATGGCGAGATCCGGCACCGACCTTCGTCGGTTTTCGGGGGTTTTCTTCAACCAGATATCTCCCACCAGCAGGGTACTCCCCAGAGGGAACAACCTCCAAGCTACCAACAGGTCTCCCGATATTTGTGGTAGTGTAGTCGATGCAAGTGTAAATGTGAGTGTAAGTAAGGGGTAAGAATAACACAAGGAAGAGGACGGAAAGATCGCGCGCGGTTCGTGGTCCGTTTGTTAGAAACTGCTCCGCATTCGCTAGATGTTGATCCGACAGACTATCAGAGCAGTCGGTCGCTAGAATGCACATCCAGACAACGGCTGAATTCAAACTGTCTAGCTGATATTGAAAATCTTGCTATCTAGGGGACTCGAACGCTAGGACCTCCCATTTAGAGGCACCGCAACGGCATCAGTTGATGCGCTGAGTCACCTTTGCCTGACCTCCTCTCAAAACATATTCTGTACGTAAGGGACTAATGAACATAGCAGTTTGTGCCCCCAGGAAAACGGATGTAATAACAATCTATCAATCAATCCATAAAAGTCGTCAAATGCGAAATTTCGCTGAGACCAACAAATCACAAAGCTTGACAGAAGAACCATTCTTAAGCTTTAACTTCTTTCCAACTATCCACTCATTAAAAAATAAATTTCTCAAATTTCACTAACCCCACAGCAATTGTAGTAGAATATAATACGTAGTTTTTCTTTAATTAACACGGTGGTTTACTTTTTTACCTGTAATATTAATATTGTAGATACCGTCTGTATTTGTGCTGTGATAAAATAACACGAATATTTATAGTAATTCTATTTTCAGAATGTTAAACCGAATTGGAATTGTGTATACTTAAATGGTAATTCTTTGTAAGAATTTAATAATTTAATAAGTAGGTTAATTACTAACCGGATATTTACCTTACTTTCTTAAAGTGTTTTTTTTTAGGTGGATCATTTCCTATTCCCCTATCCGTCGTCTGCGCGCAGTTCTTAATCCCTGGTTCGACAGGCTGAGAAGCTATCGAGCAATGTGAACGACTCACCAAAAAGTTTTCAATCATTTCATTGAGAACATCTTCCTTCTGTCTTTTAATTTACATTGGAAACTAGATTTTTAGTTTGTTTCAAACAAATCAATAAAACGCAGATTATACGTCGTATTACCTACACAAATTCGAGCACGTCTGTTTCAAGACGCTTCAAAACCAAATTTAACGTTTTAACTTCCTGCAAAATGCAACACGAACCCATTTGCCTCACTTTGTCGCATAAATTAAATGCACACTTTTACAAGGCGCGAAATTTAATTCAGTTTCATAGTACGATGTTCGAAGGACATAAAACATTACTGTTAAGCGGCACTAATTATTTTCATTACTTACCTTAAGCTGCAACACTAATGCAGACAGGAGGCTAAACAAATCTCTCGTCAATCACTCCCTCGCCTCTATCTGAGTTGTGGATTCTTCCGTTCTCAGATGTTGACCGTGACACTGTAGTAAATATTTATCACGATACTCTGCTCCCGGAAGTGTGTGTATCACATGTAAACGTATTTGTGGCTGCGCGCGTCAGCGCCACGTACTTCGAATGTTTTACATTTCCGCTACTAGGTAGCAGCACCATCGAAGACTTGATGAAGGCAGGGGAAGGGGGGCTTGTGCGCAGCGTATCCGACGTCAGCCAATGAACTTCAGACACCAGTTTGCGTCACAATATTAGCGGGAATTTTAAATGAAGCCAAATACCAAAACAATCATCTAGTTACAAGCCATTTTTTAAATAACGAAAATTTTATTACAATTACACTGTAATCGTGTCAAATTGTCACTTTAAGCCACTTCCAATATTTTTCTCAACTTTTCGCCCTCCGTGCAATATTGCGACTAGCTTTTCAAACGAAGTAGTAGTGTTGTGGTCACGTGGGTCGTGACGCGAACTGGTGCTGCGCAGAACGCAAAAATTGGTGTGATAGAGTAGCCCACCCATATGTTTCCGCGATGGAAGGAAGTGCCCGAATATTTTGCTCCCGAAATTGAGCGTCGTCATTAGTCAGATCCGTCCCCAATAGCTGAGCGTCGCACTCCGGAAGCCGCGCATAAACGATTGAGCTTGCAAGGCACGCCCTCGTGAACCTTCTTTCCAAACACTCTTAGGACCTGCGGACCCGTTATCGCACGCGCATTTTCTATTGCTGGCAACCACGATAAGCGACTTCAACATTACGTTGCCAATCGGCAATGCTGGAGCAAGACAATTTTGGATCCGGGGCAATGCTGAAACCCACCCCCTCCGAAAAAATAAAAACTGTAAAAGTTGTGTCAAGAAACGATAAGTTGTTTTATTTCAACAAATAACATAAAAAATACGTTTAATTTAGAAAAAAAATATGGAAATATATTTTAAATAATAGTTTTCAATAAAAGTATTAAGTAATCAAATAACACAATTTCCTTTGTGATATTAAAACGCTCAAAAATGTGTTTAATTAGCGTTTAATAAAATCATTTGTTGTTAAACACATGAAATAATAATATGAACTTCAATGGAACCTATTTTAATGCTAGCGTCATTTGCTTCATTTCAAAGAGTCCTACCGTACAAGTAATGACTATAATTAAATATTTAAGGTAAAAAATTAATTGAATATTTTATAAAATATCAGACTACTGTATCGCGACTTGTACAATGACAATAACGATTTTCTGGAGTTGTAACTTCTTTTTTAATTTGCTGCTAATGATTTCTCACCAGTACCATCATCGAGGCCCTTGCGGGGCCCCGGGCGATCGCCCAGTCTTTCCATGCCTAGCACCGGCTCTGCCATTCGGAACAACGTGAGGGTTCCCGAAACTGCTGTGAATTTTCTTGTCGCTGCCTCAAGCCTTTCAATTCTGAAGCTTCGTTCTTAATATTTCCAGTCTAACTTGTTTGTTGACCGATTGGTTGATTGAATGACTGAACTAGTCCGGTAGTTTCTTTATTTTAAATGGTGAGAATCTTAACAGGAGTGACTGAGTGTTGGAGCACTGCAACCTTACTTTATTCATGAGTACACCCGCCAAAGAAGTGTATCACGTCCTTAAAGGGTAAATACGTATCTTATTAACATAGTAGGAAGATATGAATATATTACATGAAGACCAAGAAATAAAGGATATTACATCACATACTTTCACGCATTATTGGGAACAGTTGACGTAATATTATAATATTGTAATATCTTCAGAAATAATATTTGTAGTACCTTTCGTTCGAATCTTTTACTAAAGTGGTATTTTTCCAAGCATTTGCAATAGCTGTGAGATTTTTTGACTCCATCTTAGATAATTCTTTTAGCCTTTTCTTCTTGGACATTTTAACATGTCTAATATGACATCCCGGGCAGCGACGAAGAAGTGGAAAGAGGTTCAGTACGAAATAAAATAAATTCAAACCTTCATTAGTTTCTTATAACAATGAAGAGGTGCAGGATGTCACACTGCAGAGGTTTAACACGCACATCCGATGACTGAGCTTTTTAAACTTCGTATTTAGTGTTTTCCATTGGAGCAATCTTATTTTTCTAAGAGACGGAGGCTATAGGTGACCATCTGGCCGGGTGTTCTGTTATAAAGACTTTTTAAATATGGTGAATTTACTATATATTTTCATTTTTTGATTTATAGTCGATTATAAGGAATTTTAATTGAAATTTGGAAAGTCTTTCTTAAGGAAAGAAGTCGACCTTTTCATGACGTGACGAGAGTTCATCCGCCCAGGCAAATAGGCCGAGGCGAGGAATCCTGTCGAGTCATTGAAAGGATAGTGCAAATTACACTCTTCAATATGACGAAAAGTTAATTTCAAGGCACTTTTTAAATATACAAATGTAATATTTTTAAAATAGCTCTCACGCCGGTAATGTGCACATTTTCAGTAATTTGTAAACACTATTGTATTTTTGAGTTAAAGTGCTTCAAATGAAGCTTTTCTAAAACTCGAAAACTTTCTGTGAAAATGAGCTTCATATTTTGAGTTTATGGTAGCGCTTAAACGCTATTTTCTAAAACCGGATCGAAATTTTTCAAAGTAAATTTCCTTTTAGAACGAGGTTCTAATTTTCTTTAATATTATTAAAATAATATTCTTCTATAAGAAATCTGAAAACTTAAAAAAAGTACTTTTGCAGGCACTTGGCAAGAGTATGTGGCAAGTCTTAATACCTACCCAAGACCAAAGGAAATAGAGAACTAATACAAGAAAGTTTGTCCCATTCTGTAACTCTTCATGTTTTCCTGTAATTATATAATTTCACTATCGTAAAATGTGGAGTTTTTATTCCCTAGATCATTTGTTCTGATACCTTGATCACATACTTGTTGGTAGTTGTTCTCGTTTTTCCTTTAATTGCAACGAGAATGTCAGGCTCTATCGATGTAATTGATCTTGATATGGAAGATAATTTGAAAATAATGGAAACTCCGCCCGATTTATTATAAAAAAAGCAAGAGTCACCACTGTTTACATTTTTCCATTAAAATGAAAAGATTGTGAACGAATATAGGGAATTTTGAAAGTGTCGAGTTGCGAGAGAGGTAGAGGTGTCACGAAAAACGTGCTTCTATCATTGTTTTGCGAAATGAGTGGAAACAGCACTTTAATAGATTGGTTAATTGCAATTAACCAATTTATAAATAGTTCCAAATCAAATATCAATTAATAATTTCTGGTCAACTCAAATTTACTTTTTTTTCAATACTTTACGACTTTTATTTCTTTAATAGATGTAGATATATAAGCAAGATTTTTTCATTCCTGAATGCCAGATGTCGATTTAGCCGCTAAGGCATTATATCTAGCCCAGAACGCATGCGTACGTTTTATTTTTGATCTACGAAAATACGACCTATGTATTCAATTTTGACAGAATCGTCTGCTACTCTAGACAAAAGACGGTTACTACACTCTCTACTTCTTTCTTTATAAAGTTTTAACGGGTTCTCATGCAACGCGCTCATATAGTAACTTCAATCCTCTGAACTAAATCGAGCTCGTGAATCAGCCCTGCTTTGTATACACGTCACAACACGACTCATTCAGTAAATATTCACACATTACGCTATCCGAGCCTGGGAATAAATTACAGCGAGACTAAAGCAATTTAAACACTTCGGAAAATTTAAATCTGACATAACACATGGTAAGGAATAACGGCATAATAGAACGCGCGTCACGTCTTCCTTCAATCCAGACTCTCCACTTCAAGCGCCCGGTCACCGCCCCATTAAAACTTCTATTTCCCTCTTTATTCTCAATATTCTACCCATACCTCATGCTCTATCCTCATCTTTCATTCCTCCTCATCTCTAAATTAATGAGCATACATTCACTTTTCTGTGGTACCCTAAGAAAATTGTTATTAAATATACAAAAGTATGTGAACTGTTCCAGATAAAATATATTTGTAGCTATTTTTGTACATCAGGATATTTACTACAATATATTGGCATAAACAAATAGATGTTAAGATACCAGCACTTCTTTGTATTGTTCCTTAGTACTGCCAGTATTGTTTAAAATTACTGTTGTTATTTGTTTACAGTGTATTGTGTTCTTTGGTGTTAAATTATTGTATTTATGTAAAAGCTACGTAAACTAAACGTAGCTTTCTCTAACGTTCCTCAAATAACTTCACTTTTTTCGCCTACTTCTCTTCGTCCTTTTCTTCGCTTCTTCCTCTTCTCACATATTTTTAAATCATTTTTAATTTTAGACCCCTTCCTGAACGTCTCTCTTTCTTTTTACGAAACTTCCCTTTCACTACTATGTACACTTACTCAGTACTATTAATGTTCGGCCCTAAGCCGCCATCTGATTGAGGTTTTTCGGGTTTACTCAATCGCTTAAGGCGTATGCCGGATGGTCCCTAGGTTGTTCTCCCAGACGTAAATGTATCAGCTTTGAATCCCTCTTAAAATGTTACTATTCTAAATGTATGTAAATTCAGTGTTAGGCGGAAGAGCAGGCCTATGGCCTGAGCCTCGCATTAATAAAGACATTCTTCTTCTTCTTCTTCTTCTTCTTCTTCTTATTTTATTATTATTATTATTATTATTATTATTATTATTATTATTATTATTATTATTATTATATATTCCTGGCCAGTGCGTAGACATGTCTTGTGTCGGTTCGAATCTTGGACTAAAACCGTGCTTAGCAGCTGTAGGCCTGTGGTCACGTGGGAGGGAGGGGCCGGTGTAAAGCAGACGCTGGTTGGTCCGCACCGGACCATACGCAGCGTACGGGACATACAACGCGGCAACAGTGGGCAAGCAAAAAGTAACGCGTTTACGAGTCCACCGGAGGCAACGCTGTCGGTCGCGCCACCGACGGTCAGGATAGTTGTTGTTGTTGATGTTGTTAGCCAACACCCACCCTTGGCATGTTAGCCATTTGGTGACGCGCCGACCAGTATCGATGCGCTGACTTTCCCCTCAGCTTGTAGCGATCCGCACGCCCACTACACGCGCGTAGATGGCGAATTACTGTTGCTCATTTAGCGTTACCCAGGGGACACGTAT